AAAAAAAAAAAAAAAAAAGAGGATTGCTTTAGTCCAAGAGTTTGAGGTTGCTGTGAGCTATGATGCCACAGCACTCAACCCCAGGGAAACTGAGTGAGGCTGTCTCAAAAAAAAAAGCAAAAGATCAACACCTCCACTTATATGAGTTTCCTAGAATAGTCAGTTTTATAAAGACAGAAAGTAGGGGCTCAGCACCTGTAGCTCAAGTGGCTAAGGTGCCAGCCACGTATACACAAGGTGGTGGGTTCAAATCCAGCCCGGGCCTGCCAAACAACAATGATGGCTGCAACCAAAAAATAGCAAAATAGCCGGGCATTGTGGCAGGCGCTTGTGGTCCCAGCTACTTGGGAGGCTGAGGCAGGAGACTCACTTGAGCCCAGGATTTGGAGGTTGCTGTGAGCTGTAATGCCACAGCACTCCACCCAGGGGGACAGCTTGAGGCTATCTCAAAAAAAAATAAAAATAATAAATAAATAAATAAATAAATAAAATAAAGACAGAAAGTAGGAGGGTGGCTACTAGGGACTGGGAGAAATGGGGAGTTATTATCTAATGAGTACGAAGTTTGAATTTTGCAAGATGGTTCTGAAGATGGATGGTGCTGGTTGCACAACACTGTGAGTTGTCAGGTGCAGTGGCTCCTGACTATAATCCCAGTTGCAGGGAGGCTGAGGTGGGAGGACTGCTAAAGGCCAAGAGTTCAAGACCAGCCTAGGAAACATAGTGAGACCCCCCTATCTCTAAAATAAAAATAAAAGACTATATATTCAACTCAGCAGAAAGCACAGTTGATGATAAACACTTATCTAGCAAATTCTAAAAACCATACCATGAGGTAGGAATTTTTATTATCTCAAGTCCAGAGAGGTGAAGTTACTTGTCCAATGCCACATAGCAAGCAAGTGGCCTAGAAAGGAGTTGATCTTAGGTATGTCTGACTGTAGAGCCCAGGACTTAAACCATGGCTTTATGAATGTTGAACACTGACCTCGTTCTCCTTGGGTCTGGTGCAAAGAAAGCGCCCCCTCTGCTTTCCAGCGAGAGGTCAGAAATAGAGGGGGACTATTGTTGGTGGAGGCCCAGGCACTGGAGAGTCCTGGAGAAGTATGGAGGCAAGGGTGCCAGAAGCTCGATGGGGGTGTCCCTGGGCCTGGGGCCTGGGATGAGGAGGCAATGCAGGTGGAGGTGCAAGGGCAGCTGAGCAGCCTGGGAGGGAGTCAGGTGGAGGCGTCTGAGGAGGGTTTCATCCAGGACCTGGAGTGGGAGAGGCGGAGTCAGCCAGTAAATTCCAGCGAGCTGCGTATCCAGCTCTAACGGAAATGGAAATAGGGCAAGCACTTCCCACCCACTCTGGTCTGCAGGTGTTAGTCGTTTCCTTTCTACACACACACACACACGGGCACAAATGCACAAACACTCACAGTGTGGCAGAGACTGGTGAAGGTTCACCAAATCAGTTTCCTCCAGGGCACACAGCTAAACTACATTTCCTAGTCCCTCTTGCAGTTTGGCGAGGCCAATGGAACGTGAGTGGAAGGATGTATACCACTTCCAGACCTGGCCCATAGAAACCTCATCCATGTGAACCTACACCATCTCCCCTCACCCGGCTGGACATCAACATGGATGTGTGAGTGATTGCTTGGAGCAAAGCCCACTCCTAGCCAACTCCTATTAACTGAACTTCACAGGAGGGAAAGTTACTGTGCTAGGACTCTGGTACTTTGGGGTTACTGTTACAACAGGCAGAGGTACCCCAATACACACACCACCTCTTTTACCCCTTGCACCAAACAGACTTAAGGAACGGCAGACCTGGAAAGGCTTTTAGAAATCAGCCACTTTAACTCCCTTATTGAACAGATGGGCAGAATGAGGCCCAAGAAAAGGGGTGTGAGTGCCCAGGGCCACACAGCACATCAGGGGTACAAACAGCCTTGGAAGCCAAGTGGGCTGCCTTCCAGTCCTGAGACACATAGCTAGGTCTGGAGATGCTTCCCCCTCCCAAGGTAGTAGGCAGGGGGAGCTTGAGTACCTGTCTTTGGGGCTTGGCGTTCTCAGGTGGCAGCAAGAAGCGCTGGCCCAGGACAGTGCCCACTCGAGCAGAGTACATGTGGTCGCCGAGCACGGGACAAAGCTGTAGTATCATGTGCACCTGGAGCTGATTGGGGAACACTGGGCAACAGATGAGGCAGGAAAGATGGTGGGCAGCTATTCTTTCTGTCTCACCCAGCATTGTCCCTGCCCTTTCCTTTGAGGAAACACCATCCCCATTCCCAAATCATATGGCTTTAGTTAAGTCAATACTATAGCCTCTGCCTCCAGAGAGGGGCACACAACCAGGTGGGGACAATCAAAACTGTCAATCCACCTGGCCTGTGGGAGTTGTTCGTGATGAGACGCAGCCCTGATTTAACTGTAGAAGCAACTGGGAATAAGGACTGCTCTTTTCTGCTGGGGTTTAAGCCTGGAGCCGCCACTTCCAGCTGGTCACATACACCAGGGCTCCATCAAATGCCCCCTAGGCTGCTGCTGAGTACTACCACCATCCTACCTGCCCCCCACTTTCTTCCCTGAGCCAAGTACTGTTCTAAAGGCTGGCTGGGGTCCAGACCCACCTGTCAGTGGCTGCAGTTGGACCAAGGCACAGCCAGAGCCTGTGGCCACCACACGGAAGCGGCTGAGGGTCTTCTTGACACCTTCTAGGATGTCCTTCCGGGATGGGTTCCTCACTGGAACTACCTGTGGTGCTCGCAAAAAATGAACAAGTTTCAAACACTCCTGGAAGCTATGCCCAGACCCTCCCTGCTCCCAGGAGATTCTGGACAGGGCCCACTATACACAGGCGTCACTCGCCTGTTTTAGGGGACAAGAGAGCTGGCCACCCAAAGTCCATATCCCTGACTCGACTCCTCTAAAGGGGGAAAACATCTGCAAGAACCCCTCCTTTTCCCTGCTCAGATGCTCACTCACAAGATTCACCCCATCAGTGGGTTCCAGTTTCAGAGCTGCTTGGATCTTCCCCTCAGAAACACCCGGGATCCCAACAGTGACAGCACTGAAAAAGGGGCAGAAGGAGGTCACAGAGTAGCTTGCCGGGATGTCCCCACTGCCTGAGGAACACCCTAGCACCTCTTACCTGTAGGTGGCTGTTGGTCTCTGGGCTCTACGCGAGTGGCTGAAGAACTTCTGAAGGCAACTTGCTGTCTGGGGACAACTGGAAAGGAGTACAAGCCCAGAGGTCTCCCTAGAGGAAGGGGGGGACAAATCACACAAGTTAAAGTCCTTTGGGTTCACCCACAGAAAGGAGATTCCTATGAACACTAACCTCGTGTTTCTGTTTGTAACATCACGACTATAACCCAGACCACCTCCTTAGAAACAAGTCAGGTTTCCCCTTGATTCTTATTTTGCCCTGGCTTCCAGGAAGCTCAGAGCCAAGTGCCATAAAAATTGCCACCAATAGCTGAATGTCCAGCATGTGCCAGATACTCTACTACGAATTTTAAGTTCAACTAGGAACTCAAATAATTAAGTTCCCTACAAACAAGCTCACAAGCTTGTGGAATTGCAGAAATATTTCATTTTACGTACCATCTCTAACTAATGGCAGTTAGAGGAAAAAATATCATGTATTGACTCGCAATGCCTGCCATGCCTATACGGTAACCGAAGGTATTGTTTTTTGTTTTACAGTTAAGGGAACTGAGGCTCAGTGAGGTTTCATGCTTTGCCTAATACCACACAGTTTGTACCCACGATTGGAATTCACATCCACTGGCTTCCTCCTCCTTTTCAGAGTCCTTGTATTCTACCTATATGATCTCAAACCTTTCCATTGAAAATGTCTCAGCTTATTCCCAAGCAGCTATTCCCCCACCCAAAATGGATACCTGTCTGCCTACCTTCCCGTCACCCCTATCACTTACTTCCCAGGTGCTCGGACAACCTGGAGCTCCTGCTTCCCAAGCCCCAGGGACTGGCTCAGCTCTGGCAGCACTGAGAACAATGTCAGCTCTTCTGGTTTTCCTGGAAAATAAGAAGGAAAATCCAGGTGCAGTTGCTTATCCTGTAATTCCAAATACTTGAAAGGCTGAGGCAGGAGGCTCACTTAAGGCCAGATGTTTGAGATAAACTTGGGCACCATAATGAGACCCCCATCTCTAAAACTGTTTTTTTTTTTTTTTTTGAGACAGA